AATTTGCATTTTCTCAAAAAACTTGCATTTTTCATTTTTTCACAAAGCAAGCATCTACCGGAAAAATGATCGGACTTCATGCGAAAAACCGGTAATCATGCGCCTAGATGTCCGTGCGGCTCTACAATGCACCACCTTCATCCCAACTGATGCCCTTCCTCCTGCATGCCGGTAAGGAACAAAGCACGGCCAATATTAGCCCAAGTGTTAGGCCACAGCGTAGGGATCATTCCTGCTAATAGCGACCTGCGAATTTAGTGCAAAAACGCATGGTAGCACCAGAGAGCCTGGTGCGTTCCAGCCTGGGTTGATGTTCCCATCAGCTATTCCAGTCAGGGAGGGCAACAGTGAATCATCTCATTTCACGTCTTACTTGATCGGTAAGTGGAGTGAAGCGGACAGCACTATTACAATGGCAAAACAGCTCATTTTTAAAAATAATTACGGAGGTGTCCCGCTTTTCTAAAAAAAAGAACACTCTTACTTGCCCGATATGATGCAGGTTTGAACACTCGCGAGTCCAGATAAGAAGCACATAAATCAAAAGCAGTTGCAAATAAGGCAGTCATACCAACAATTATGAGAACTGCTCTGAATTAAGTTAAAAGCTTCACTGATTTGAACAAACGAGATAAGCCATAGACTTGAAGTTCTCGAGTCCAACTCATGCATACGATGCGTCACTTTCAAATATTGAATAGTAAGACTTTTCGGGCTTGTAAAATTTCTATATTTTAATTCAGCCAAATCCCCACCTTACTGAACTGTAAAACTTACACTACAATCCACGTTTTGTAATCAGTTTGTCTAAATGGAATAGACGCTTGTTTGATTTCGCACACCGGTGAGTGGCCATTGATCTGTATGACTGAAATTATTGAAAAGCACAAAATTAGACTTTTACGTATTTAAAGCTTGTTAGATGTTTAAGATCTGTCAAAGCTTTTTTAGAAATATCGGAAATTTGGGAGAAATATAAATTTCGTACGTTCACGAGCGAGAACCATCAGGGTGTTATATTTGTCG